CAACGGTTCAGACGGTTTTCAGAAACCGTCCCATCCCTAGTAGCAGCTCTCCAAACCTGGGCCTAATGGGGAGGATGAGGCCGGGCTGAGTGGGTCGTTTCTGGGCGGAAGGTAGTCCGACGCGCTCTGGTCTGAGAAGGCCGACTCCAGAACTGGAGACAACTACAGAAAAAAAAAAAGGGCCTGATCCGATCAAAGCTAATGAGAAATGAGCAAATTCACAATCTGGGCGACTAACCTGCTGACTGTTGAACTTCAGTGGAACGATATTCTTCCTCTTTCTAATCCCCTGAGCACTAGGTATAAAAAAAATATTTATTTATTTAATCAGGACAGTGCACATAAATGAACAATCTCATACAGATTGTAAATGAGCCAGATTCTAGCATAGTTTCTAATTCGCATCTGTCCTCCTGAGGCAGGAAGACAAAACAACACAAGATCACAAAATACAAAATCAGTCCAAACACACAGACACACGTTCAGACGATGATATTACAAAATTAAAATTAGTGATTGCATGACTGGGAACTTTTGAGAAACATGAGAGAGAGAAAAGTTGAAATATTCTGATGCATGAAAACACCACCGTTCCTCTGGGTGGATAAATAAATAATGTCTCTCTGGGATTATTAAAGTATTTCTGATTCTGATTCTGATAAACGCCCCCCCACCCCTGCTGTACCTGAACTGGGGCTGGCTCTCCGCTAGGTTCAGCTGGGAGGGGGAACAGGGGCTCATTGGGAGCACCAGAGGTTCATCCCTCCTGTATTTGGATGCTGCTTTAGAGCTGCCGAGAACAGCAACCTTTGGGGGATCTGAAATAGGACATAAAAGTCTTCAGCCTGTTAACTCGATTCTTTAGTTGGAAACCTGAGAATAAACCAGAGTGGATCAAAAGTACAAAAATAACATTTATTGGACACAGGTAAGTATATCAGCTGGGCTCTAACAGACAAAAACCTCTCTCTGGGTCTCAGTGGGAAAAGAGCCACCAAGTCCTATTGGCTAGTTACCTCTGGGCATGAACAGGCCAGGTCCTAATTCATGCAGATGACAGGAATGTGGTAACAAATAATGTGTGTATGTGTTGACCTAAAGCTGTGGATCTAATTCAACAAAGAAAGAAAAGAGAGAAAAGGAAAGTCTGTGGGCACAGCCAGAGACTTTAACCCAAAAGTATAGTTCTAAAAGGAATAAGACAATCAGTAATTTACATAGATTATGTTATAGCATGCTATGCTAAAGTGAGTAATTATAGCCAAATTCTAACAAGCCCACCCCTATTTTTCTGTTTATGCTGTAAAACTGGACATAGTTACAGTAGTGTATTAAACATGGTGAAACATGAAGATAAACCCACGATGTGTAGCAGTTATTTTTATCCTACACATCTTAGATTTATGTTGTTAATATCCCAAAATGTGTGTTGTCAACAGCTTTCATTTCCCCAAAGCTTTCCAGAGACATTCTGTTAGTATTAGTTAGTTAGTATTATGTTAGTATTAGTGCTTTATGACCTGT